GAAAATGAAAAATGTGAAAAAATTAAAAATGGAAACAAGGTCTTTGTAAATAGGGAAGGGAGAAGGGTGTGAAGGGAGGCCAGAGATATGGGGAAAAAATAAGAACCAAGACATATCATGTAAAGGTACAAGATCCCAATGATAAATATAACTGTATTGTTTGTTTTAAATATAATAATAAAATTAATGGGAAAAAAAGAATGGAAGAACATCGAGTCTGGTTATATGCTGAGAAGAATGAGTCAATAGAATGGGAGAGGTAGAAGGTCCTGGAGATAGAAAAAATAATATGGCAAGATCTCTGAGGGACTGGATGTAACAAGGATCAAAAACACAGAACACTTAGATGTACAGGCTACGTGAAACAGGAGGGATAAAGGTGCGTGGGAGCAGATGTAGAATGTAGGTCAGAAAAACTCCTGAGAGCTTCAATTATTTTAAGGACGGTAGGCAATGAAGTCACCAGTTGAGTAGTTCACGTGGGAAGAAGATGATGAAGTCGTCAAGCAAAATGGAGAATTGAAGAGGGACTAAGAGAAAATAAAAGAATTGCCAGGTGGTGCTGAAATGACCTGTCCAGAGGAGCAGGAATGAAAACAATGAACAGGGAACAATAAAAAACTATGGCATAGAGACACAAACTTCAAATATCTGTAATACTAGGAATTATTCCAATTATGGAACACCTTCACATTATAGGTCAATGTGACCTCATCCAAGGATCTTTCTCAGAATTTTTATCTAAAATCTATTCCTATTAATATACAATTCCACTCAAATTATCTGCCAACTTAAGACATTTCATTTATGTTTATTATTTGTTATACTACCTTTTTGTATCATTAGATCATAAAAGCTCTTTGGGGGCAGAGACACTGCAAAATACTTGTTTCTGCTCCCCCCCCCAAAGTATTAGTACCTACACTTTGACAAAGACTCTCTTCTTAACTAAACTTGAGACAGGCTTCTCTTAGCCTTAGCAATTAGAGTTTGAAGTTTGGTCTCAATCCTTGGCCACTTCATCCAGTTTTAGCAAAAATCTTGCTGAGACAGGCTAGTGAAAATTTTGATCAGATTCCTACCTTCTATCTTCAATATCTTGGCCCTGGGTATCCTTTAGCAAGAATTCTATTGAGTAAGTTCAACAAGATTCCCCCAATCCTTGATGTTTTCTTTTAGTAATTTTTTATCCACTAATGCCCAACCTCCTCCTTGGTTATAAATCCTCACTTTTTCTGATTGGAGACATAGATGAGCCCAATCTCCTCTTCTTACTGCAAAATTCTATCACAATAGTCCCTCTTGTATAAAGTCTTCCTTATCATCTTTAGCCAATATTATAAATTTTTTTCTTTAACACTGCAATGAACCATCAGATGCATCACAACTTTCCCAAGTACTTTGGCATGATATAGAAGACCTTTCACAATCTATTCCTAATTTACTTGTGTATTGTCAACTCCATTACACAGTCATACTGTCCAGACTCGAATACAGATACATGTATAATTCAGTATGTTTTATTTTCATTCATCACACCAAGTTCTTTTACATTTCCAGGGCTTTTGAACGTATTTTTTCCTTTGTCTGGAATACTCTAACCCCCTTCTGGTGATCACCTATACAGCTGCCAATATTCAAGAGGAATTCTGTTTCTTCTATGACATTTTTATTTACCTAAGAAAAAATTCTGCTTGGTTTACTAGGGGCACTTACTGTGTAATGCAGAGTTCTGTCTTACATAAAACATACTAAATTGTAATTTTAAAGATAAATGAAGGCAAATAAAAAGAGAAAGACACCTACCATTTAGTCTCCTTTTGGGACATAATGGATGTGTGTGTGTGTGTGTGTGTGTGTGTGTGTGTGTACCAGGGATTGAACTCAGGACCTTGCGCTTGCAAGACAGGCAGAAGAACCACTAAGCTAAATCCACAGCCTGACATTTATTATTTCTCTAGTTTTGCGAACAGACAAATCTCAACAGGATTCAAAAAGTCTCATTCTCCATTTTTACATTGTATGTGTTTCCAAGGTAATAAGTCATATTCCCCTTCGAAATGTAAACATCTATCTTTAAAGTTAATGTAGGCACCCATCTCAGAGGGTAACCATTTATATTCCAAGAAGATTGGGTGTATCTTTCTGCAGGTAAGAGTTTTATAATTCTATTAGAATCCAATTACCTAAACAAATGGCTACCTCTGTTCCCAACTGAACTTTATATCTACTTTACTGTATAAGTTGTATAGATTCTTATTCTGAATTTGCAGTCTCTTAAGGGCATCCTATATTCCTGTACTATTTTGTGCTTCTCAAAAACAAAAATCATCTTTTTGTCATATTCATATGGATAGTTCTATTTATGGGTAGGAATATTTACTTTGCCATCATAATAGAGTTGTAACCAGTACTGCAAAATGGAATGTTAAAAGATATTTTTCTTTTATAGACAAATGGCTTCTCCAAACTTTCTCAGACCTAGGGCATAAATAACTACCCCCACCTATCCTCAGTCATGATGAATGGATATAATTCATAATTCATATACAGATACTGGCTTCAGCAGGCAGGAGCCCAGTTTTCTTTCCACAAGAAAGGGAACAATGAGCTAAAGATGGCTGGAAGTGAAAAAGCAAGTGCGGAGATATGCATTATCTCTCCTCCATCCTTTATGCCTTACTATAAAAGACCTTTAGTTATTTGTACATGGTGAGATGGTGGTTTGAGGCAAATGGGCCCCTCCATCTTTTCAGAGCTAGGTTTGAATAAATCTTTTTCCTTTATACCAAAAATAAATGGCCTCCCTTGATTTGGACATCAGTCAGCAAAAGAACATGTGTTTATGAACCTAAGTGCCCAGTAACAATTTTAACAGAGGAAGGTACATTTTCATGAGCAAAGAAGCTCAGATTGTATCATGAAACCCCAGGAAAAAATACTGAATGAGGTTAAGTACACAGTAACATAGTTGTGTATCTAGAAAGAAACAAAGAAGAATTAAAGATGACGTTAGGATTAAAGCATCGTTTATATATTTATTCCCATTTTTCAGTATACAGAAAATAAGTATGTAAAACAACTGAACAGAGAACACACATTTTTGTGACTAAATATAGATTTTAGAATATATGAGCAAATTCTGTTAAATATCTGTTCCTGTAAATAGTCATTGGAAAAGGCTGAGCACTAGGGAAGTGTCGTCCTCTAAATCTGAAAGGCATATTTTTGTTATATGGAAAGAAAGGCATGAACTGTATGAGAAATCTATTCAAGCTTATTGTCACTTTCACAATTTCAATACACATTCCCTATGTAAATGTCTTTCCCACTCAATACACTTCCTTATTTATTTCCATTTGAAATTTCTATTTAATTATTCCTACAGTGACTTACTCTTCTTTAATTTTCCAGTCGTTTCTCTCTTTCTTTAATATTTTCTGGCTGTCTGGCCATGATAAATTTTAATATAGTCTTGTAGTCCATTTGTGCTCTCCCCTAATGGTTCATTAGCACTTTTTTCTGAGTTCTTACATGTCATACAGGTATTTTTATTCTTCCTAAAATGTTTAAATCTTTTATTGAGTAAATATCCAGTAGGGCATATTTTGTACTTATGTTTGTATATTATATTATGTTTTAAATTAGTGACTTTTATTGTTACACTTCACAGAAGTTCCCCACTGATTTTAAAAAGATTAGGCAAATAAGCCCCCAGAAAAATCACATAATTTTTGTATATAGTCACTGCCTACATGCCAATTCTCAGTCAATATTTTAAAATTACTGTGTAGTTTTGGAAGGATCACTGGATATTTTCACGTTCATTAATTGGAGTATTTGTACATATTTCTTTTTATATAGATTTCTTACCCAAATGAAACGTGGGGAATTATATCTAAGCATTTTTTGGTGTTATCATCTCAAAAATTGCAAGGACTGGCACATAGCTGAATGACGTATGGTGGGTAGAAAAAGCTAAAACTACAAAAATAGAGGTAAGATCTTAGGGTCTTTGAATATTAAGCTAGAGACTTTGTGTGTAGTTTCTCCTGTATTGCAGGCAATGATAAATTCTTGAAAAATAGCTAATTTTTTACTGAGTACTTAGTCTGCCAGAGTAAGTTACACATGCTAAGTGCTTTACATGCACTTTCTCATAACTATTCTGTAAGTACTGTAATTATCCTCATTTTAGAAATGAGGAAGCAGATTCTTGGAGGTTTAGCATCCTAGCTCACAGGAAACAGCTAATCAGCGGTGGAGCAGAAATTCAACTTTGGCTCTAACTTCAAAGCCCATTCTCTAAACCAGAGGAAAGCGGGAGTCCACTTTTCCAAAGATCACTCTGGTAGAAGTATGAGAACAAATGGCAGGGACAAATGTATAAAGTCTAAAGGCAGGGGAACTAGGAAGGATGCTGTTGCAGTAGTCAAGACTTGATAGGCCCTGTGAAGGGGGCTTTCAGCCATGGGAATTATGCAGATGAGTGACATAGATTATTTAGAACACCCCTTTGGCAACTCTTGTGAAAGATGGACTGGAGGAGCAGGACTAAAGGCAGAAAAATAAATAGGTTCTTATCCTCTCCCCATCCAATACTAACAGTCAAGTCACTTCATCTAGGCTCTAGGAAGTGGGGTTTTGCTCACTTTTCTAGGTTGTGGACTTCCTGGTCAGAGCTCCTACAGCGGCGCCAGTGGTGGCAGCGGTCGCCGCGGCGTTGGGGCGCATGCGCACGGTTGCTAGGCAACGGCGGTAGGGCTCAGCCGAGATAAAGGCGCCAGGGTTTTGTGTGTGTAGGCAGCGGCGCCAGAGGAGGAGGTGCAGGAAGATGCAGCTGCGACCGTGGCCCCAAGAGGGAGCCGCCGCTGTTCTGTGGCCGCGGGG